TTCACACCAATAACCATTAGAAAAAAATGTATTTAGACCTATATTATAAAAACAAAAGGGAACAGTACAACGAATCACACAAACAACCAACAACCGACTCCTCCGAGAAAACAGACGTTCAAATAACGTAAATCAGCATCAACAAATAACATATGGTCCAAAATTGTCCGACTTGGTACAGGCACAACATGTGGTGGGGTTGAACGTGTACACAAAGCTCCCTATTTCCCCATTCTAGACAAAATATATCGTAAAAAGAAAACTTACACAGTCCAGCTACCAACGGCATAACCAACAACTTGAGTAAGGAAATTAAAGACGGCATATAGTTTTGAAAGGGCAAAAATGTACTCGCAACTACAGGGAATTATTACATATGTAATAGTATATTTCCAATATTTAACATATGTTGTTTCCCTCCTGTCCATACCAAATAATCAAACTGTGTACAATGAAACGTGTAAATCAAAGTTTGAAGTCAGTAATAGGATAATTAGTCTATAAATCATGTCTCAATAATAACAAAAATAGAGAATATCATATTGCTTTCTCAATATCACATCTGTATCAACCCGAGACACCAATATAATCACAAGAGCTCTGCTATTATGTTAGTTTGATAGTCGCAGGAGACACTGACTATTTCCCGACGCCCCGAGGAGAAAATAGTTTGTGTCGAGGGAAAAATAAAATGGCTTTATCCCGAAATAACTCTTTTAGAATAACTGTATTATCTGAAATATCTTAGAAAAATAAAAATCCAATTCAAAGAGATACAAAACTATATCAGCTGTGGCGTCTCATAAAATGTTCTTTGAAAATCGCGAATATCAAAGTAACTGAACGTCAAAACTAGAAACACCCAAAAAATAAAAATGTTCGTTAATACGTTTGATTCCTGTGAACTATTAACCCCATGGAAAATAGTCATTTTAATCGTATTTGATTTTATATAGAAAATACATACTGAGGTATAATAATAATGGTATCACTATACTATGCTTTATTTAGATTAGATATAAAATAAGAAGATGTGGTATGATTGCCAACGAGACAACTCTCCACATGAGAACAAAGACACAGAAATTAACAACTATAGATCATCGTAAGTCCTTCAACAATGAACAACGCCCATACCGCATATAGTCATCTATAAAAGTCCCTGAAATGACAAATGTAAAACAATTCAAACGAGAAAACTAACGGCCTAATTAATGTAAAAAATAATGAACGGAAAATAAATATGTTACACAGCAACACACGACAACCACTGAACTACAGGCTTCTGACTTGGGACAGGCACATACAGAATGTGGCGGGGTTAAACTCGTTTGAAGACATATTTTATTTTCTCAAATCCAATTTTGATAAGACACAAGTCAAACAGACATATTAAGTCTTCTCTTAACATATTTAACAAAACAGTATATGTATGGCTCAAATTCATATATGCATGATATAAGAGCATGCATATGTTTAATATGTTTTCTACATTTTAAAGGTTGGCCAAAAACATCGATTTCTCATAAGGCATGGTTTATTTATGTGATAAACAATTGTACATACTATGATATACAGACAAGCAAATTAGTCTTTACATAACAATTTTAGTATATTGTATTAAAGTGTCACATATAAGTTTACAACGTTATTCACAAGTAACGTTATATATTACGTATGGTTTGGTGTTTCTTGTTTCTCGTTGGTTTATTTGATCACGTGTTTCCCAATATATATTTTGTTTTTTTTCACTGTTTTGACGTTACTATTTAAAAAAAATGATATTGACGCCATGTTACTTCGTCCTCGGTCAATATACTCTGAACAGGTCCATATATAACGTATTGACCTCGTCAAAAGTCCATAATTGATAAATATATCGCACAGTAATAACCAGCGCGATACGTTTGCGCGAGAATACAAATCCACTGTTGCACAAGACTAAACGCATTACGTTGGCGCGAAATTTACCTGTTGAAAAGTTACTACGTTTGCACGGATTAATTAAAGTATTTTCTTAAAAAATAATAATAGAATGTTTTTCAAAAATGATTTCTTAAATAAAACAAAATAGTATTTAATTGAAAAAAAAAATTGAACAGTTTTATCGGCCATATTGCAAACATCCGAATGATTGACTTGCCAATGATATATATCTGAAACAGCTGGATACAAGAACAAGGACTGACAAATAGATTGTTCCTGTTGATATAATTTATATTGTGTTTTATTCAAGACTATGTACTTGGAATGGTCCTTTCCATGAAATACACACGGTATTTTATTAAAAAAAAATGCTTTTACATACATGCATTGCTTTTTAATGCTTATATAAACGAAACAAGACTTTTCTATTTATAGATTTATCAATTGTATAAGAATAAGAAGATGTGGTATGATTGACAATGAGAGAGCTATCGACCAGAGACAAAATGACGTAGATGTAAGCAACTATAGGTAGTAGTTCCGTCCTCTTTTCCTCGAATGTGACCTACCAAGTTAGACTTATCACCGGGTATGTACTGACATGAGAAACACGACGGGTACTACATGTGGAGCAGGATATGTTTACCCTTCCGGAGCACATGAGATCACCCATGTTTTTTATGGTGTTTGTGTTGTTCAGACTTTAGTTTTCTATGTTGTGTTTTGTATACTGTTGTTCGTCTTTTGGTCCTTTTCTTTCTTTCTTTTTTTTTATTTTTTGCCATGGCTTTGTCAGTTTATTGTCTACTTATGAGTTGGAATGTCCCTTTGGTATCTTTGACCGCACTGTCAACAACTAATGAACAAAACCGTATAGTAAGCTATAAACGGCTCCGATATTTATAAAAAAAAAACGAAACAATTATATCGAGAAAAAACGGCCTGATTTATGAACAAAACAATACATTCTACAGTAAATCAATTTACCAACAGACATGGTTTATTTTTGTGACAAACAATTGCAGATACCTTGATACATGTATACAGACACATATATTACTCTTTATATCTAATGACAAGAAAATTAAATATAGAGGAAAACAGAGATAAAAACAAAGATCACAATATACATATAAGAAAGAAAGAGAAACGAATTAGGAAAAACATTGATCTAACCTGGGAATGGTATACTAACGAATATATTATCATATTTATGTCCCATATCTAACTTAGTCCATATAATTCACCTTTTTGTTAATTTTAATTAATGAGAGTTTCTATAACTTCTTCTTCCTCGGTGGATCTTTACACCCTTTATAGGACAATAAAATTGAGAATGGAAATGGGGAATGTGTCAAAGAGACAATAACCCGACTAAAGAGCAGAAAACAGCCCAATGCCACCAATGGGTCATCAACACAGCGAGAAAATCCCGCACCCGGAGGCGGGCTTCAGCTGGCCCCTAAACAAAAATGTGTACTAGTTCAGTGAAAACGGACGTCACACTTAACTCCGAAACATATAAATGAACTAAAATTTAAAAAACATACAAAACTAACAAAGGCCAGAGGCTCCTGACTTGGGACAGGCGCAAAAATGCAGCGGGGTTAAACATGTTTTGTGAGATCTTAACCCTCCCCCTGTACCTCTAGCGAATGTAGAATAAAAAATCACACAGCAATACGCACAGTAAAACTCAGTTTAAAAGAAGTCCGAGTCCGATGTCAGAATAGGTAACAGAAGAAACTAAGCAAAATAACAATGATACATAAATTAACAAAGGACCTACTAGCAGTTACTGACATGCAAGCTCCAGACCTCAATTAAACTGATTGAAAGATTATGTCTTCATTATATGAAAATCAAGCACAATTCCTCCCGTTAGGGGTTTAGTATCATACCATCATAAAATATATATGAACATAACCCGTATCCTTCCAACAACTAGTTTTAGAATAAATGTGTTTATTTCCGATGCAAAGACCCTATGAGTGAATCAATATTAATTCCAAAACATGCCATCTTTAATGACCTGACAACAGTATCGTAACTATATCCCTTCTGAATAAGTCTGTTAAAAGGTTTGGTTAGCTTTTGAGGTGAATGACGACATGTTTGTGCTTTCTATAGAATATTACCATAAAAGATTGGATGTGAAATACATGTACCTGAACGTATAAGATGTCTGCATGTTGATTTATATTTACGAATGATGTCCTTGTACCGATGATAAAATTTAGTAAATGTTTTGACTAGTTTGTGATATCGAAAACCCTGGTGTAATAATTTTAGTAATACAGAGATTTCTTCGTTAAAATCAAATATGTTGTTACATACACGAGCGAATCGAACAAGTTGAGATATATATAAATACCATAAGATGGTGACAAGGGAACGTCACCATCTAAAAATGGATAATTAACAGTAGGAAATGAAAAATCGTGTCTTTTATCGTAAACTTTGGTATTAAGCTTCCCGTTAAAGATATAGATATCAAGATCCAGGAAAGGACAGTGTTCATTGTTAGTATTAGCTTTATTTAAAGTCAGTTCAGCAGGACAAATCTCTTTAGTGTACATACTGTAGTCGTCATTATTGACAGCCAGAATATTATCCAAATATCTAAAAGTGTTATTAAATTTTTGTATCAGATGTTGTTTCGATGGGTCTTTGCTGATTTTAGTCATAAATTGTAACTCATAACAATACAGAAACAGGTCCGCAATAAGTAGTGCACAGTTAGTCCCCATTTGAATTTCGAAAAAATTTAATATACGGAATCTCCATAGCGAGCAAAAATGTTTTATAGTAAAAATTCAAGTGCAGTTATCGTATCAAAGCAGGTCCAATTGACATAGTTCTTTTGTTTGTTGCTACTAAGAAATGACCTAAAAGAGTTTGAACATGTATATTCGCATTTACACATCTAATTAAATGCCCATTTAATTAGATGTGTGAATTATTTCTTAATGAAATTATGAGGCAAAGTGTTATATGGGGTAGAAAATATCAAAACTTTGAACCGATTCGAAATCACCAATATAAGCATGCAATTTATAAAGTACTTCCAATGAATTTTTGACACTCCAAAAGTAATTAATTCCACTATTTTCAAAGGCCTTATTTGAACAATTTATTAATAGGTTTTTTATTGTACCAAGTGTACTAGTAAGTAGAATAGACAGTTTAGTAGTGGAACAATGGCTTGAAGACGAAATAAATCTATATTTGTAAGGTGTTTTGTGCAGCTTCGGAATCCAGTACACAGTTGGAACTTTCATTATATTTGGTTCTGCTTGTAAAGAGGTGGCTTAAAGTTTATGTTTGTTACAGACGTCATTTTTCCGAAAATGAAGTCAGTTTGAATGTTGGTGAATTCGTGATTTCCTTTTGCAGAACCTCAATGTAAAATTTACGTCAAACAATAATGATATTATTGGCAGGCTTATCAGCCGGGACAAAAACAAATTTTAGCTTATGTTTCTCCACCAATGACAAAAACACTGTACACTATTTACACTGGAAATTAATGTTTGGCTTCACAGGTTATTTCAACACATTTTGCGTTCGTTACCGCTTAAGGTTTTGGTTCTGGGTCATTATTTGCTTGAATTTTCCTGGTTAACAATGAACAAAATAGTTTCTTACTATGTATTGTTTTAGTAACTGAATAATACGTACATCTCAACATTGGGTGCTAATCATCCCCTATTTCATTTCCATAAAATATTTTGTTTTCCTTTTGTTTTACCCAAGCATGTTGACACTCAACTGACATGTGTTGTTGGGTTTCTGTTTAATACTACAACACTGACATGCGTGTGCTTCTTATCTTTCAAATCTATGCGCATCAAGTTACCAGGTGTAAATGGTTTATTTCGTTCAGCGCACGCACATTTTGTTTTACTTCTCATAGTGTCCGCATTCATCCCTGTGTTGTGGTTTGAGACCGATTTTGTCTTTGATCTGTTGATTAAATAAAGTATTCCGCTGAAAACCCCATTGAGATTGGTCATCATGACAACTGCTACGAATAATTCGAACGGAACATTTGAAATCACCTGCCAAGTTCCATAGATGATAACGGGTGTCCATTGAATTATGTAAAACACTACAAATAAACACATGGCCTTCGCAGATTTAAGCGTTGCACTTCTTGCAACTCCTTTATTGCCAATTTGAGCTCTAAGGACCGCTGCCTCCTTATAAATTCGCCTCCATGTTAAAACATAAAATACAGAAAGCGCTAGCAAGACCACACTGGTCAACCCTGTGCTGAGCACGATGTTGGCTATTATCCCTTTTACAGAATCAAACACACATCTGAATATTAAATAGAAAATATTTTAAGTTTTGATTAATTGATTGATTGTTGATTGTTTAACGTCCTTTTAAAAGGAGAAGGTCCGGTGAGGGATTATTTTGGCCTATAATTTGAAGTACATCTGATAAAAGATTTTTGACATTTTTTAAACACTTAAGTGTCTTCTTCAGTCGATTCAATCAGTTTATGTAAAAGATTTAACTGATTTTGCCATTAAAGACGCCTTAATTCAAGCTTGAATATGAAAAATCTATCAAATATGCCACAAAACGTCACTTTTCAGATGGTTTTTGTCTAAAATGGAAGTAGCCGCATTCGTGTTCAGTCTCAACCTTTGTATATGTTATGTTTTATCATCAAATACAACACATATTTAAGTATTAAGACTGAACACAAGTGTGGCCACTTCCATTTTAGACAAAAAACCGCCTAAAACTAAGCACAAAATTAATGCTGAAATTGTGAAGATTTCAGTAATTTTGCATGAATTAATGATGCTAGTATCTGATGCATGTGCATTGTATTGTCAAAAACAGCCCATATTTATGTAACAAAGGTATTCTTCTTTCCAATAAATAGCTTACAGTTTACATTTTTAACACATTTTTGAAATGCTATATTTTGGGGCCAAAAAGGGGTCTAACCAGGCCTACTCCTTTGCATAATTCAAATTATACAACGAAAATCACTACATGCATGGCGGGTGCCACATGTGTAACAGGATCTGTTTACCCTTCCGGAGAACCTGATTTTTAAATTTTATATACACAATTGGAATTTAAAAAAAAACATTACTTAAGATATGGACATTTCTGTAGCAGTATATTACATGTATTTTAGAATGATTAATATCTATGCATACATTATACTTTATATTAGTAAAATTAAGCAATTTCATTATTTCACTATTTAGTAATAAAATATACTTACAGAAATCCACCTGGACCTAATACGCCCAAAGACCAAATAACAACCACTACTATGAAAGGAATCAAGAAAATAAACACCAGCAGTTTCCAGTCATTTCGTCCAAAATCAAAATTCTTCCTAAAATATACTGATAAAAGTGCATTGAAGGCAGACGATAGAGATAGGTTCATTTGAGATACGCATAGATTTACTATAATAACTGCATACATTGAGCATAGTCCACGAGGTCGGACATGGTCCTGTGTAAAAAGCATCTGTCCGTGGTCCAAACTATGAACAAAACCGAATATAGTATCGCAAATGCATCTATATATCAAAAATCGTTCATGTTTTTGCCATGTCATGAATGGTTTTCTTGCTTTTGATTTGAATAAGGAGATAATCACTGATATCGCAGTGCTAAAAGATAGCACCAAACAGACGATGGCCGTCACGTGAATTACATAAAAACAACTGTGACCGGCACCAAACACAGGAATATCGTATCCACTTTCAGCAAATGTAATATTTGTATGAGTACACGCCATTTTCGTACCTTCTAATGAACACACGGAAGTTTTAGTATGCGTTTCATCCTGATAGTAAAACTGTAATGTCAAAGTTTACAACGCCTGGTATTTGCGGATTTATGTATCGGCGAAATATCAATTTAAATGCAAAAAAGAATATGTGGCGTTTCAAGTTTGCATCACAATATGACTAAATGGTATATAGTCTCTTTTAAATGGCTACCGAATGTCTTTAATATATGTTCGATTATCACGTATTGTCCCATGGTGACGTTGAATTTGCGTAGTAGTATAGATACAGTCACTTGAACTATGATGTACAAGACAACAATAATTTTCGTCACATGCTTGCTTCATTATATATATTTGGTTGAATACAGATTTGTCACAATATGCATTAAACAATAGAACTTAACACTTAAATGTTTAATATACAAAACATTAGGCACAGTCACGTGAATATTGATGATAAGGCGGTTTTTCAGAAACGTGATTTTTTCCAATAATCTTGTTGTTTAATACACTATACTAAACCATTAAGTGCTAATACAAATTTCCACATCTTGATTGCTTCGTAACTTTTAAATGGATGTATACAAAATGGAAGATAATATTTATTACCATTGTGCATGTAATTTGGACGGAGTTGATTATTAAAAATGATAAATAAAGTGTTAATTATTGATAGTTTCTGATTATTTATTCATATTGATCGTTTCGTAATATATTTTGTAGTGCGTACACCTTCTGACAAGTGTTTATTACATTGATTGAGTTGTGACAAATATTGTGTTTTGCATTTAATTAACGGCCATACAACATGTAAAAGCCAGTTACAGGGAATCTTAGTAAAGTGGGCGGTACCGTAGAAATAATCCTATCATAAAAGAGTTTCCAGATCGGTAACTGTATAACGATAAGAATACTTTCTTCGAAAGCAATACAGCTTACAAAATATTCATTTCTACAATAAATGTTCATTGCATCAGTGTCATATTAATAACAACAATTATACAATCATATACATATGGTAGAGATTGACAATAATTATTTGAAAAATAGGGAATAAAACTACTTATTACGGATTTTTCAATATTTAACAAAAAATTACCTAAATTATTTAGTTCTTTAAATTGTGAATGATTGATTTCTTGTTGGTTGCTTAACGTCCAGTGGCAAATATTTCATGCATGTTCAGGACGACAGATTGTCAATGAGACAGCACACCAACGACACAACTCATCAAAGACTCGAGAGGACAACATGTTGTATTCTATTTTAAACAAGTGTCTTTGTAACATTGCTTTAAATCGCATAAATTTTTATAATTGTTCAGAATAATAAATAAATATAGCTTTATATAGGTTGAAATAATAGTTAGATATAGAAAACAATTCCCAAGTCCGTTAGCTTTTAAAGTAACACAACCTTTAACAGATGTTGCGTGTGAAAGACACTACATGTATTAAATTCTCGTAGTAAGGATCGTATTTCCACATAAATTTCCATGTTTGTGATTTCATTTGGCGGAGGTTTTGACCAAATAAGGGTATCTAAATCCCAGCTGTATCTAACTAATTGAAATCTTACATTTATCGCAACCTTTTACATGACTATAAACACGTGCATATTAGAAAACGTACCCTTCATTAAAGAGGGTCTGGATGGGGTTTACAGAATAAAGAATAATGCGCCAAATCTACAGAAAATGTGCCAAAAAAAATAAAGTCTAGAGAAAAATGACATTTACATTAAAGAATATACAAAAATGAAAAGCCCCACATCCAGACCCTAACCATTAAGGAAAGGAAAATTCACAAAAAAAAAGTCGCCCCGTTAACTTTATAACAATTTTTTGCATGAAAATTATTTTGAGAACTTTTTAAAAAATGATGAAAAAATGACAATGATTCACGTTAAAAGTAGTTAGCGAGAGTTTCTGTTTTTATTTTTGTTTTTGTTTTTAGAAAACTCTGATTTTTTTTTACCGAGAATACATCTTCTAAATGTCTACAGACATTGTCAAAAACGTCTATCACGAGGACTGCTAGACATAGAAGTTTTGCCATAAATCGCTCCATAACAATATAAAAAAAAAATATTTGCAATAAGAGGGGCACAGTTGGTTCCAATCGGAATTCTAATCAGATACAGTAGATTATTAGATTAAACTGTACAACGAACAATGCACTGTTGTTGTCATTTCAAAAATACAAAAAAGATAAAATCAAATTAAAAAAAATATATATTTATATTAAGAAAGCTTATTACATCAACAAATAATGAATAATTCACACACAAAATAAACGTCGCAAAATAAAGCTTAACTAGACATTATTTGTGTATGGACTACATAGTCTGATATGGTTTACACACATACAATGTATGGTAGAGTGAGCCTGATGTGTTGAACATGAAACAATACCATTCTGGGAATGTATACAGTACATAATTTACTTACATAAAATAGTGTTCTGTGCAGTCATTCTGAAAAATGTTAACACTTTATTATTCTGTTCAGAAAAAAACTTATTGTATGTGAATGCGTTTTCAATTTAAGTTAACTATTATGTTTCAATTAATACATTTATTTTCTTTCCACGTACATGAATTTAAAACTGTTGCCCTCATTAGATATCTTTTTTTTATATTGATAAGATAAAAAGACAAAATATAATAGAAACACAAAACAACCAGAATTTACACCCGGATTCTTTACTTCTTAATCTGTATCAGTGGTATCGTGGTAACGTGTTTTCTTCGAGTGTGGGAGGTCATGGGTTAAATTCCTGGACGAGTCAAACCAAAGACTTTAAAATCAGAATGTGTTGCTTCTCCGCTAAGCACACGACATTAAGGAATTAATGTTAGAATCGAATAAATTAATGTGACCGGGTAGGATGACATGACTTCTTGCGCTTGTGATCTTGTGCGCTAGCACGTTACAAATATGGCTCGGCGTGTCGGTCTAGTATATACGTACAAAACAGGCTTCATATTCATATATATCGTATTTACATGTTCTCATCCTGAATATGCATTTGATTTGACAATGGGCGTACAGTCATCCAACAAGATTATCCAGATTCCTTCGACAATATTCGGAATCATCATTTACTAGTTATTAAATCATTTCGGTACAATTTTCCTTTGACGCATCTTTCGATATGTGCGATTTTCACAAAAACGTGAAAATATGTGTATTTTCAAAAAAAAAAAGACCCTTGCTTTTCGATTAGACGCATATTATTTTTGGACTTTTGTCTTTGTATAAAAAGTTATAACATGTTGCATATAATAAATAGTTACTTTAAGGGCCTGCAACATAAAAGGTATCACATTTATTAATGAGGGTGTGGATGGGGGTAAACAGGATAAAACGGTCAAAAAATTTAAAGCATAGAGAAAAATGGACAAAAAAAAGAATAGAGAATAATGAGGTTCTAAAATAGAAAGAACAGAGAATAATGGGCAAAAAGTATAAAGAATAATAAAAAATTGCCTAAATAATTAAAGAATACAGAAATGAAGGACACCCATCAAGACCCTCGTTAATTGCCCAATAGAATATTATCTGTTAGCTTGAAAACCATATCGATAATAAACTTTTATCTAAACTTAATTAAAAGTTTAGCTCTAAAAATAAGAGACAAACATTTAACAAAGAGGATGCATTGGATTAAAGCCAACTAATTTTCATTAAATAATGTAGAATTGTATTTGAACACACCATTGTATTATCTTACCTGTGTAGAACAGTTTTAAAATCATTTCGATTTTTTTCAACAATATTGTAAGTCCTTGTAAAAATTAAATTTTCACATTATTCATTCCTTCCGATAATCCTTTTTTCACAGTATGTAAAACAGTTTGGTATAATGTACTGTTATGTAATGAACTGTGTTTTGTATGCTGCACTGCTGTATAATGAACTGCGCTTTTTATGCTGAATTGTTGTATATTGAGCTGTACTTTGTATGTTGTACTGTTGTATATTGTAAGTGTTAGATGTATAGAAACGTGCAATGTGTGATGTACTTTACTGAACGGTGCTTTGTGTGATGCACTGTACTGAACTGCGCTTTGTGTGATGTACAGATGCATGGAAATATGCCTTGTGTAATGTAATGTACTGTACTGAACTGTGCTTTGTGTGATGTACAGGTGTATAGAAATGTGACTTTGTGATGTACTGTACTGAATTATGCGTTATGTGATGTACTGGTGTGTAAAAATGTGACTTTTATGATGAACTAGTGTACTTAAATTTGCGTTGTGTGGTGTACTGCTGTGTATTGAACTATTTTCTAAGTGATTCAAGTTTTTTTTTAATTTGTATATAGGCTTTATGTTATGGCAAAATCATGGTTTAGTCCCAGGTGGGACTAAACCATGATTATATATAGGATTCATCCTATAAAAACTGTATATTATATATAATCATGGTTTAATCCCACCCATACGGAAAAATGCTTCATTTAACATAGAAGGTGGGACTAAACCATGATTATATATAGAATTCATTCTTTAAAAACTGTATATACATGTATATACATGTATATAATCATGGTTTAATCCCACCCATACGGAAAAATACTTCATTTAATATAGAAGGTGGGACTAAACCATGATTATATATATACACACATTTTTTTATGATAAGTAAAGATCGATATAATTGTTTAAAATACTAATGTTTTTACTTATAACAAACACTTTATAGATTTATGACACTTATTGCAACCCAACACCTTGAAAAGGGGTTTTATTTTGGGGATATTATTATAAAAAAGGGGCAAGGAATTTTTTTGGGGAAAAATTATAAAAATTGCATTTTATTATTGTATGACCTTGACCTTTAACCTCTATATAGGTCATGCTTCAGTTTTTGTGAATAAAATCATGAATGTGACACTCTGAACTGCATGACCTTGACTTTTTACCTAAAACAAGGTCAATGTCAGGTCAGACGTGTGACCTATATAGAAATTTTAGGAGTATTTTGGGCGTTTTTCAATAAAAGTGTGAATTTCAGACCTAAAAAAATTGGAAAATCAACTTGTCTAAAATTTTATTTCAAGATTTATTTTGAATACCTCTATTATAGACCTGTTTGTAAATAAAAAGTGCAATCTTAAATACTCTTCAAAATGATATTTTTTTCATAATTTATGTACTGATTCGTAGGGGACATTTGTCCCCTACGAAACTGCTTCTAAATGCACATTGTGTGGCATTTTAATGTCTCCTATTGTCATTCCAGTTTG